GAGGTCCTCTGACGGCTGTACAGATGATTCAGGGTCGTGTATGATCTTGAGCTCATGAAGAGCTCTCTGGGGCGTCTCTAACCTCTTCATGATTTTCCGATCTTTTTCTTTTAAGGCGTGAGACAGGAAGTTCCACGTGTGGAATGCGAGCTCTACTTGCTCGCTCCGGTACTGCTGTGACAGCGAAAACTTGCTCTTTCCGCTGTTGACGGGGATCTCCAAGCTCCCGCTCTCTTCAAATTGTTCCAACAGGTTTGCGCCATTAGCTGCCATGCGGAAATCATTTAGCCATTCGTTGAAATCTTTCGATTTCCCGCTGAACGGAGGAGAAGTGTACCGCACACTTTGGTACCCCGTCGCTGGGGTTGTGGCTCCGTATCCAAAGCCAACAGCAGCACCACCATCTCCCATGGCACTACTATAATCTTGGTTGTGAGCAGCGGCTACTCTCACCTCTTGGGGGACAAAGCCCCCTGCTTCGCCGCTGTGTCGCCCTGACGGGCCAGACTCTCGAACAGGTTCGCGCAGGTACCTCCCGTCCTGCGCACTCCCGGTCCACGGTGCCCCTCCTTCGGCGTTCGTGGACTCCGCGGCGGCGCTCTCCCTAGCATCGCCGCGATCAGCGGCACCCTCCATGGTGCCAGCTGGCCCCTCTTTCTTGCTTGCCTTCATGGTATCTTCCACTAGCGACATTAGCTGGCTCATCTGATCCGTCAGCGAGCTAACTTGCGTCCTCAGGGCCACGAGCTCTTCTCTTGACCTCTTTCTGTCTTCCGCCGCAGAGTCGCTGGAGGAGTCACCCCCATCTTTGCGACCTGACATTCCTAATGGACTCTCCCTCGAGGGACTGACACTAGTGTGTTCGTATATGTCCTTTACTTGGAAGGGGAAGACGTTTTATCTCTTGTATTAGACACGCAAGGGGAGTAGGGAGAAGTGAAGCCCTCTTTGAAGTTCGAGGGGTCCCGGCACATGCAACCACCATTTCAACGTGTACATATGCCACATCTGCGTGCCCTCTGTTGTTGCCGGTAGATCTAACCAGTCCGTATCCAAACACACGAACAGTCTCCCCCGCTCGGCCCTCTCTTCGCCTTCATCGCCCTCGCCTCTTGTCTCCTTACCTTCTCTGTTTCTATCATGTTCGCGATGCAAACCCTCCATCCAAACTTCCTTACGTAGTTCGACAGCTTCTCGATGTCAACCCCCAAGCACTCTTGGCTGTCTCCCTTGGTCAGTTTCACCCGGAAGTGTTCATGCTCTCTGCCTACTTGTCCCCTTGCTCGGCAGTGCAGTCCCTCCCTGTCACAACCGCTCTTGTACTCCTCGTCATGTCCCTTGGAATCCCAAACAATAGCAGCTCCAGCTTGTCTCTGTTCCACAGTTTCTACTTCCATCCTCCCGGCTTCTTCACCAATCTCATAATCTCTACAGCAACTGGACCGTGGCCACTTTTTTTTCGTGTTTTTCAGGAAGGTATAGACGGAATACTCGGCCTTCCCAATCCGAGTGGTGGGAGTTGTGCTTCCTTTCAGTTCTTTTGCCGGCCCACCGACGCCAAAGAGCGCCTCCAACATAGGCTCGTAGTCTAGATCCAAGTTCACACCTCCTGGCACAAGCACCCCAGACTTGTGCCGGGCCCTCTGCTTAGAAAACACCCAGACATCCCCCGACCACCCAATTTATCATCTCCGAAGTCCCGCGGTACAGGCTACTTTCCTCCTGGGAGGTCATTTTCACCACAATAAGTTCAGGGACGACTTGCATAGCCTAAGGTCCTACTCACACGCCGGGATGGAGCGCACACCAACGTCCAGCTTCTCATGTACCATCCACCATGGGTTGTTACCCCATTTACGCTCCCGAGTAGACCTATCTGCCGAAAGTTGGCCAACAGTTCCTTACTGCTTTGTACTCGCCTCTCTCCAATCAAAAACAATGCATTGTGCGTGCCGCACATCTAGCTCCGCAGTTTTTGCGTGGTTGGTCTGGTCGTCCAGCTTGCTCGACGTGAGTAATAAACTTTGCGTTGATGGCTCTATGTTTTATCGATCCGCTTCAAGCAACGAACACCCCCCCCCCCCCCCACCGTCCGATCCATTTTGGATCTCACGGCGGAGAGCTTTGGGGTGTCTTAGCTCTAAGTCCTCCACCGCCTAATGGGGGACTTTCGTATTTTTTTTAATGCCGTACCAATAGGCATTAACCTTAGGTAAGCTTGTGCTTACTTTGGATTGTACCCTCCTCATCCTCTGGGGGAGGTAGAGGGGGAGGGGGGCGCATGGCCTCTATTTTTCAGGGGGGGGTTCGAGTACGGGTTGGGGGTCGGGTCCATGTGTACTGCATTCTCGACTTGTCCCCTCACTTTAGCTACTGTGGATTTTCAGTATACAGCTATCCTTACTCAACGCGTCTAAGTGTCCGGCATCTCCAATATCAATCAACCTGTGAGGTTTCAGTGTGCCGCTTTCTTCACTCAATGCGTCTGTGTGTCCGGCAATCGCAAACGTCACTCAACCCATGAGGTCTCAGTATGCAACTATCCTCACTCAAAGCGTCTAGGTGTCTGGCACTATCCAACATCACCCAACTCGTGAGGTTTCAGTATGTAGCTATCCCCACTCAGCGCGTCAATGTGTCTGGCAAACTCAAAAACCAATCCATTTGTGGGGTTTCAGTATGCAGCTATCCTCACTCAACACGTCTATGTGTCTGGCACTATCCAACATCACCCAACTCGTGAGGTTTCAGTATGTAGCTATCCCCACTCAGCGCGTCAATGTGTCTGGCAAACTCAAAAACCAATCCATTTGTGGGGTTTCAGTATGCAGCTATCCTCACTCAACGCGTCTATGTGTCCGGCAATCTCCAATACAAACCACCTGTGAGGTTTCAGCATGTGTCTATCCTCACTCAACACGTCTATGTGTCTGGCACTATCCAACATCACTCAACCGGTTGGGTTTCAGTATGCAGCTATCCTCACTCAACGCGTCTATGTGTCCGGCAATCTCCAATACAAACCACCTGTGAGGTTTCAGCATGTGTCTATCCTCACTCAACACGTCTATGTGTCTGGCACTATCCAACATCACTCAACCGGTTGGGTTTCAGTATGCAGCTATCCCCACTCGACGCGTCTATGCGTCTGGCAAACTCAAAAACCGATGCATCTGTGAGGTTTCAGTATGCAGCTATCCTCGCTCAATACGTCTGTGTGTCCGGCAATCTCCATTAGAAATCACCTGTGAGGTTCAGTATGTGTCTATCCTCACTCAACGCGTCTGTGTGTCCGGCACCCCAATATTACTCAACCGGTGGGGTTTCAGTATGCAGTTATCCCGACTCAACCCGTCCATGTGTCTGGCAATCTCGACCTCACTCAACCCTTAAGGTGTCCGTATACAGCTATAATCACCCAACACGACTACGTGTCTGGCAATCTCCTACATTACTCAACCTGTGAGGTTTCCGTAAACAGCCATCGTCACTCCACTCGTCCATGCGTCACGCGTCTTTGGTAGCGCATGCTATGGGGGCTTTATTTGGGGTGGCGTGTTTTACAGCGCTTTGCCAACAGCGCCAACCCACTGAAGTCTAGAATGGGGGAGTGGGGGGAGGGGGGGTGTACTCATAGTCGTGCATGCCGTAGTCGTTAGACCATTGACCTCGCATCCCTACAAAGCCGGGACGGAGCACGCCGGGTTCTCACCGGACCAGGCTCTCACATCACCAAGCGCGAAGCGCCGTGAGATATTCGGCGAGTCGCATGAAGGGTGCGCTGCATCCTGCTAAGGGTGTTCGGCATCTTGTGCTTACTTCCTTGCGTACGGATGACAGCTGCGTATGAATTAATTTATTTTCTGGTGCTTTCACTTCCAGAGACAGTTGTAAGCACTGTGTAACTGCCTCGAGGATGCGTTACCAATTAAACACAACGTGGTGCGATCATCCCCCTTGTGCGGAGTGAGG